TAACCGGAAAGTTCTTATCGGAACTCTATCTCTGAACCTGTGTATAAGACGAGGGGTAAAATCAGGCATTGTTTTAAGAGTAAAAAGTATTGTCTTATACACCGGCAAATATGGTAGTTGAAAGATTTAAAAGTTATGAACGTGCAATACTTGACGTGTTTTTTTTTTGTTGTTGTTAACTGCTCAGATCTAATTTGCTCTGTTCTTAGTTATGAACGCGCAGTACTTGACGTTTTCTTTTGTTGTTGTTAACTGCTCAGATCTAGTTTGTTCTGTTCTTACCTGTCTGCTCGACGAGTGGTGTGTTTTATTTTATAACTTCGGTCACACACAGCAACCCTTTCGTTTTCAGTTGGACGTTTTCGCATTTCAGATTTAGAAGTTGTTAGTGATTTGCTTCTCATAATAGGATCTGTAGTACAAGGAGTCTTGACGTTGGATTTTACTCGATTACTGGTTAAACTTTCTGGTTGTTTTTTTTCTTTCTTAAGAAGTTTTTTACCCACCGAAATTTTACCTCGATTAGCTACGGACTTAGCGCTCATGTTCTTTCGTTTCTCAAACTGTTTCTTCCGCGTTCCGCCTTTTCCGGGCAGGGACTTTACCGTAGAGTCATCGTCCGTTGAGTCACTTTTCTCTGGATCAGATGTGTGAAGGAGTTTCAACATATTCTCCCTTAAAAGTCGAAATCTACTTTCGTCATCTTCGCTGTCAGTTTTTGGGAGTACCCCAAGAGCCTTTTGTTTCTTATATAGATTCTCGCTCATCACAGTGCAGTCGTGTAACATCTGACCATATCCATTCCTGGCATCATGAAGAACGTGACTAGTTAAAGTTCAAAGCATCTAATAATATAAAAACAGCAACCTGTCAAACAGTTTTAATAAAGACTTCTACAAATGTTGACAGATATTTAAAGGCTTCAGAACAAATAGTTTTGTTTTAAAATAATTTCAACACAACATTTTATGTACCTCGCTAATGATTTACATTATCTTATCTTTTAATCTGTATTAACGTCATCATTATTATCAATTTTTTAGTTTGCGAAGATTTGATTTGAAAACTTATAATGTTGTACTTGTAGTGATTTTTATAATGGCAAGTACTGAAAAAGACAAGAGTTTGGTAAAAACTATTAACTGACCACTAGATAGAACTAAAGTCAGTTCCAGATTTACTCTTTACACTCTGACTCTCTTGATAAACACATCAACATGTAAGCGGGACTGACTGCATAAACAATATCCAACTATCTTTAAGCAATAATGAATATTATCATGTGTTGCTTTTGATGTTGTTATTTACCTAGTTAATCTATTCGTTCGTATTTGCAATTGCGAATGGAAGATGAATCATAATTTCAGGTACAATACTTACCTAAATCTATAAAATAGTTACGTGTATAGCAAGAGCATAGCGATAAGAACATTAAGCTTGAAACTCATTGATTTTGTGGTAAAAGTGACTCTTTCGTTCCTTTAACAAAATGATTTTCTTTGAAAAGCGTATTACGCCAGGGATAGAGGGTGTGGTTCAATGTTTGATGAATACGCATAATCAGTTAGATTTATCACCGGACCACACCTACATAGATAGATAGGTATGACGTACTTACATATAAGTAAGATACATTGGTTATGTATTACACAAGTGGACATAGTTGGAATTTAGATACGCATTTTATACATATTTGCATTATGTTTCTTTTTGGAGCAATACAAGGAAACTACATTACGACAAGAGACAAAATAAGGGAGTTTTTAGTAAATTTTATCCCTTAAAACCTAGAAATTGTTTATATTTTATACTTTTATTGCATTTTACATAATATTTTCACTACAACCCGAAACATATAAACACCGAGGGGATTTAGATGACATTAGTGTCAGTTAAATCATGTTTACCTTGAAAGACCACCATTTTCTTTTTGTTCAAACGAATATTTTTCTTTTAGTTCTGTCTTATCTAAATGAATTTGGGGCATTTACTTGTAGATGCTCTTTAATGCGTGATTTATTTTTTCACGTAGCCATTTTTGAAAGGTAGGACATTATATACACATCTAGAGTTTTTTCATAATTTTCTTTTGTTTGTTTTTTGTGATTTCATACTTCATGTATTAGGAAGAATCAAACTCGGGAAGATTTCGTTGTTTTGTTAACGTTTAACTAATATTCTCAATCTAGCTGGAGCTATGACTAAAAACTATCTTTCATTGGACGACTTTTGAATAATGGCTTATCGAATATAACTTGCATCAGCCCTGTTCTGTGGCTAAATCTATGTTTTTTTTTCAGAGTTCATGCATTATTATTTTATGTGGGCATTATTTAAAAAAAAGTTTAGCAATGTTTTAACTGTTTGACTCTGATGAAGATGGCATTACACAGCTGAATTCTTGCTCACAAAATTAGTACAATTAGCTTCTCGTTTATTTGTTGGATTTCGCGCCAAACTATACTAAAGCTACCCACTTCAGCCTTTTCTAATTTTGAAGTGATAAACTAGCAGAAAAGCAGCTAGTCAAGACCACCCATCATAACTCTTGGACTCCTGTTGTCAGACATAACAGTGGTAGGATTTCACCGTCATTTAAATTTGGTCGGTAATTGGGCGCTGACCACGTAACCTCAGTTCCATAGTCTGGCACGATAATTACTGGTTTTTATATAGATGTAAGGTACTTCAAATATTGCATTTAGTTGATACTGAGTGTGATGGATAACTAGTGTGTATTATCTAACTTTCATGATTTGGTAAGCAATGACAAAAAAAAAAAGACACGAAAACACGTCACTTTTATTTATTTATTATTTTGTAAGTTAGTTGTACTGTACTGAATATGATTGAAAAAGTATTTTATAAATACAGAAATGTCAATTAGATGGCAAACAACCTTTAACACTAAAATTTGTTTTTATAAATGAGAAATAGTTGTGTCCTTTTTGTATGGATCGTTAATAACCAATCAGTTAATTAGAAAGTTTATTATTGCGTGTATATTTGCCAATAAATCTATCTACACAAATATGAGTATATTAAAAGTTTATTGTTATTCGTATCATTAAAACGAGGATTGTAAGTAATATTATGTACACATGAGATTATTGCATAATTATTCTTTAATCTTTACAACTATACTTTTATTATATATTTTGCATCGTTAGTTCAGTATATGGTTTTAGGAATAATCTATATCTTCTTAAGCTATCTGAACTTCGTGAGCTATTATTGGGTTTATGGCCGAAGATATCACTAACAGTGAGGGTACAAATTGGTGAAACAATACATTCTAATCTCTATAAGTAAGAACGTAAGAAAAGTTTATTTAATTAGCTTTAGTTAGTACCGGGTTGCTTTGTATAGTTACGATTTATTTAGGTAGTTTGCTTTTGTCAAAAGTTAATATTGATTATTATGGTCGTTTAGTATAATCACTAATTTAGTTACATAGCTCCTTTATTATGTTTACATTTACAATCTACATTGATATAAGTATATCGATAGCTTCTTATTAGGATTTTTTTCTAGTATTAAACCTTTTTTTACATCGAGAACAGTGATATTGTGTACACACGAAAATATTATATAATCACAACGTAAACTACAATATTTCAAAGAACCTTTTATAGTTCATCTTCTGAACACGTTAAAGATCCCAGGTATAAATCTCTTTCCATGTCAGTATTATATTGTTAATAATAGCAAATTTCAAAGCGGAGTATATCATTTTGTCCTATACTAACAGAGAAATCGGGTGTTTCGTAAAATAGTCCAGTTTCCATTCTTGTGCTAAAACGTTAAATTATCAGATATGTTAAATTTTTTTGTTGAAAACTTGAAGCTATGTACATAATGGTATTATGAAAACGCTTCCTCTGTTATTTCTTAATGTAAGTGTAAAGAGAATGGTCTGAATTAATGTGATCAATTGCTTCTGAATTTAGTCATTTTTCTATCGGGGGCTTCGACTGAGCTAATAAGTCCACTAGCAACTAACGAACCACACCATCATAAGACCCATCCGGTTGTGAAAAACTCAAGTAAACAGCAAATTTAACATTCATTACTAGTAACGAGAGTTTCTATCACTTTGTAGATAAAGCTACAGAATACGTAACAAAGTAAATTGAAGTGGCGCATTCGTATAAGGTAATATTGATGTTTAAATTTTATTAGATTGGTGATTACTCATAAACATGAGATTGAAGAAAATTGAGAGAGTGAGGATCTCGAACTCACAAAGAAGGAAAATAGAAAAGTCGGAAAGAGCGAAAGTTCTCCTGACTTTGTTTGTTTTTTTATTTCGCGCAAAGTTACACGAGGGCTATCTGCGCTAGCCGCCCCCAATTTAGCAGTGTAAGACTAGAGGGAAAGCAGATAGTCATCTCCACCCACCGCCAACTCTTGGACTACTCTTTTATCAACGAATAGTGGGATTGACAGTCACATTTTAACGCCCTCACGGCTGAAAGGGAGAGCATGTTTG